ACATCCCTGATCCAATGTAAAGGGAGTTTCCCTGGGGTGTGGCCTGCACCACCTTTTATCTCTCAAGAGATAAAAGGAAAGGGAAGCAAGCAGAGATTGGGGACCTCATACCATCAAGAAAGCAGTGCCGGGAGCAGAGCGTGCCCTTTGGACCAGGGTCCCTGCACCGAGAAGCTCCTCGTCTGGGGGAACATTGATGAGCAGGCCAAGAGAGAGAAAGCCTTCCCCTGGAGCTGACACCCTGAATTTGGACTTTTGGCCTACTTTACTGTAAGGAAATAAACTTCTCTTCGTTAAAACCATCCACTTGTGGTATTTCTGTTATGGCAGCACTGGATGACTAAGACAGTGGGGCAAGCATAAGCAAAAGACCTTGGAGATGAAAAAGGTTGAGGACCCATTTAGGGGACAAGCTGGCCAGGGCCCAGGGAGAAAGCTGGGGAGTAAAGCAAGATGTGGCTAGAAAGGAGGGTGAGCCCATATTTAAGCTGGCAGGTCAGTGAGCTCTGCCCAGGTTTACTGAGAACCAACTTTGTACATATGCCTGAGAGCAGGCATTATAGGGCTCATCCATTGAAAAGGACAGGAGACAAAGACAGCAACATCGGGTGTCTCTTTAAAGAGCAAGCAGGCACAGCAGTTCACTGGCCAGCCTCCTTTCCTTCCCTATGGCCTTACCCTGGGGCTGTGCATGCGATGACACTGGGGAGCAAAAGGCATACACCACCATAGACACAATCATCATGCACACACACACGCACACACACGTACACACACACACACGCACACACAAAGAGGATGAGAAGCCAATTTGGTTTTCCAAAGGAGTGCATACTTCTTAGGTGATATTAAAATAGCTGATGAGGAATCCACTTAAATCTTTTTTTGGGTGGGCGATGAAGGGCTGAAGAGCATTGCTTAGACATTTCTGACAGAATCATTTACAAGAAATACGGCACCAGCACTGAATAGCAAAACCATCAGCTCCTAAAATCGCCATCTCCTGCAACTTCCTGGGCCTCAGCTGTATCCGTGGATGTCTGGGGTGAGTGGGCGGGGGCGGGGGGGTAGGTGGAGATTTGCCCAGCTTAGGCCTCACCAGCAGCTCCCACAGGTCAGAGCTTCCTTTCTGCAATGGGCAGAAATACCATGGCTGAGCTGACCCTTCTTCCAGCCCCCAGAGAACTTTTTGTCTATGCTAATCACTTGGCACATTATTACATCTGGCCTGTGCCTGCTCTTCCATCCTTGGCTCAAATTGTAATGAAAATCATCTGATTAATAATTCTTTGTCAATGTGTAATGTGTCTTCTTAGCCAAATTGTGAACTTCTTGAACGCAGGGTCCAAGCTGTGCTCAACTTGTCCGAAACCCTATGTCCAGGACAGACAAGATAGCAAGTATTTTGTCACAATGCTAGATAATGAATCCTGATTCATTCCTCTGATAATATGGATCTTGAATGTCTACTAACATTATCTTTTAATAACATAGTCACTGAATTATTCATCTGGGTATTCCAAGCATCTAGAACAGCGCCTGGCAGACAGTAGTCCAGTTAGGCCTCCTTCTGAAGCCATCTTAATTCCACCCTGGAAGAAAGACTTCATCCATTTAAGTTGGGACCTGAAGGGTGAATGTGAATTAGGCAAGTGAAGGTGGGCAAGAGTTGGGGAAGGTGGAGAAGAATCTTCTAGGTAGGGGAAACAGCAGGAGCAGACCTGGAGCATAGTGAGGGTGTGTATATGTGTGGCCATGTGGGAAGGAACAGGAGAAGCAGTTAATTTTGGATGGAATCAAAGGATGGGCCCCCCTTCCATTAGAACAGGAGGGGTGAAAGCAAGAAGGCGAAGGCAGGCAAGTTTGTAGGTCTGATGGCAGAAAGCTGAGAAAGTTTCCATATGACGGCTTCTATTTTCTCTCTGAAGAGGGATGTAAGGTTATCTTCTGAGAGGAAGGAGGGAGGGGAGGGGTGGAAGGCTTCGGGAGAGAGAACCAGGTTTAGAAATAGCAATTGAAAGGAGAGAGAACTGAGTTGGGGAAGATGGAAGGGTTGCTGTGCAGGGCTGAGGGTCCAAGCAAGGTTGGAGACCACACATTTCCACTGCGGTAACGTGTGTGTCTGGTTGAGATTTTCTTCAGTACCTGAGTGTAGCACAGAAGGCAAATGGGTGGACTGATCTGGGCTGGTCCTTATTAGATGGGAGGGATGAAAAGGCAGCAGGGCAAGGGCATGGAGGATTCAGGCCAGAGAGTGGCCGAGGGAGGTAATGGACCAAGGGCTCTGAGTAGGGTAGGGAAGAACCAGGTTGACCAATAGGGAGAGAGCAGAAGTCAATAGACTGAAAGTCCCAAAGATGAAAAACAAATGTAGTGGAGCTAAGTAACTTAAGTTGCTGTAAGTTTAAGAGGTTGTGGTGAGAGAAAAATGGTCAAAGCCGGTGCTGATGTAGTTGATAACAGATTCAGGATGTGGCTGTCCAGTGGGAGGCCAAGGTGGAAACAAGGAGGTCAAGGAACAACAAGCCCAGTGTTGAAAAGGTTGTATGAGGAGAGGAAAGGCGGCCAAGTTGACCTGCTTCTGAACCCAAACGGATACCCTAAATGCAGTCGCCCAGATTCCAGGGTTCCCAGGACTCAATCAGTTCCACAGCCTTATTGAAAGACACAGACACTGGAAGGGTCAGAAAAACCTAAGGCAGGTGGGATTGGGGCCCAGGCGTCCTGCTTTCCTGAGCCAGAGCTCTCCTTCCCCTGGACGCACTTCCGTCCCTAGGGAAGACGAGGCAGAGTGAGTAAAAGGAGAGAAGACCAGTGAGAGTGCCAGCTAGGGGTTCTTTGTCGCCTCCTACGGGGCAGCACCACTTCCAGAGGCTGCCCTTGGCCGGCCTCAGGCTCTCGGCCTCTGCTCTTGAGCCCCGGATCCACCCCACCCCACCCCACACCAACCTAACCTGGCCAGGCCGGTTCCGGTCAGACCGGAAGCACGTGGCCCCCCATCCGGTGGCGGTTGCCCCGGAGACCCGGGCTGTTTACCAGCAGGCCGGCCCGGGAGACTGGCGAAGGTGACAGATGGAGCGGAGCAGCGAGGTGAGCGCGGGCGGGTCGGGCTGTCCCACGCTGCGGGCCTGCTCCCACCCCCGCCCGGTCTGGAAGGGGCCAGGAGAGGCCAGTCCCCGAACTTTTGGACCCGTCGTCCAGGCGGGCCTCCCCAGACCCAGCCCCGACCGGCGAACCCCGAGAGACAGGAGAGGGGCCTTGAGAGAGGTCGCTCCTCCCCAGGGGCCAGAGCTCACCGTTACCGAGATAGGAAAACTGCCAGGCTCTGCAGAAGCCGATGGGCTTAGGGAACCGCTGGGCCATCCCCTCCTGGCTGGGTGTACAGACAGGGACACTGAGACCCAGAGAGAGAAAAGGACGTCGCAGTCACACGGAGTTGGGCACCAGATCCGAGCCTCCCCCAGACCTGCGCTCTTTCACCCAAGTCAACCCTCACTTTCCAGACGCGCTTTCTTACCCCTCCCCCACGTCCCTCCTCCTCCTGCTAAAGCTTGTTTCCTTCTAGTGCAGCCTGGTACTTGGAAACAAGGGAGCCATCCTCCGCCCCCTCCCCTCCTCTGCTGCTGGAATCCTCCTCAATTCCCTATCCAACCTTTGATCACTTGGTGGATTGTGATCCAGTTTCTCCACTCCCCCTATAAAACGTGGCACTCTGCAGTGGACAATGCATTCTAATCATTAGTCCAGGGGAGGAATGGGAACGGTACCAAAGTTTTCTCATTCGCAGGCCAACTACCACCTCCCCGTGGTTCTCATAAGTGTTTTTCTCTTGAAAGCCTCACAAGAGAGGGGAGGGGTTGGCTTGCAATAATATTAACCGATAACCATTTTTTAAAAGGCCAATTCAGGGTATGCATCCTTGGTAAATACCAGCAGATGGTATGTGGGTGGTTATATTTTATTGCATTTACTGTAGCTTTAGATTTGGGTTGCCACTGAAATAGGGTGGTCTGACCGTATGGTGGGGAGTGGGCACCCTTGGAAAGCCGGGATCTTGTTTTAGCGTCTTCCATAAAATTTTCCCTCATTCCAGTTGATCTATCCGTTAATCTTGAGGAATGGGGCAGCTGCCTTTTTGGCAACTTCTTGGAAACAGTTATCAATGTTTGTTTCCTGACTCCTAGCAGGCCTCTAGGGTGCAGCTATTGTGTTTAAGTAAACAGGCCACTTGACTGTTCAGCTGGCAGCTTGATGGATGGTTCCACCTAGATACCTGTCAAATCACTTTGTGGTTGACAGTCTGCCAGGTCTTGGGGGTGGTGAAAGGAGAAGAGCTGGGATCATGATGCATGAGCAGAAGCCTTCCAGGACCGAGGGAGGTGGGCAGAGCTCGGGGCCCAAGGTGTGCACAGTTGGCCCAGATCCCCAAACACCTGTCTCCCCCACCTCCCCTACCCTTGTGATGGATGCTGGGGAGAGTTGGTGTTCCCTCCATGTAGCAGATGGTCCCTGTACTCAGGAGGAGGCAGCGGGTTATGAAAGCAGGTTTGATGTAACGGTTTTACCTGAAGGAGGTGTTAGTCTCTAAATAACCGTGAGTGGGCTTATAGGAATTAGTCATAATTGAGGTTTTTCTCTGAGATAGCTCACAGTCACGTTATCTTATGACCAGGGTGTCTTGACTGTGACCCCCCCGAACATAGATAATTATATAGTACCAAAAGGTATAGAAAGTACATGCACATACTCAAGTTTTACTGTTAAAAATAAGCCAGCAGAGAGCTGGTGAGAACACATGACTTCCCTCATCGAAGTTGTTAAGGAAGAGGTTTCTAAGTTACCAAACTTACTGACAGTTAAATCTTCCCGAGGCATGTGTGGGAGTTGGAAGCCAAGGCTGCGATCATTCTGGAGAAGCTGTGGCAAATTAATGGCCATCACACAAGGGGCCGAGGGGGGCCGCAAGGAGGAGTCGGTTTACCAGTTGAGCTTATCTTTGGCAGAACAGTTGGACAATTCTGACCTTTGTGTGCCATCCTGAGTTAGAGCGTGGAGCTGCTTAATTAAAAGTGAAAGACTTTAGAACTCATCTCAGATTAAAAGGGGAAAGAAAACACATTCTTCACAGTTGGTCAGAAAATAGATTAATAAGGAGAAAGAAAGGCAGGCATTTCTGACGCCAAGACTTTGCCGTGGAGACGACTCCTGAACTCACAGCCGCCAGACTGGGTGTGAAAGATTAGGAAGTAGAAAATGGGAGTGTAGAAGGACTCAATCTGTAGAATGGAGAAAAACATAAAAACTAAACGAGTTGCTGTTGAGTCGATTCTGACTCATGGCGACCCCATGTGTGTCAAGAGTAGAACTGCACTCCGTAGAGTTTTCAATGGCTGTGATCTTTCAGAAGTCGACGGTCAGGGCTTTCTTTTGAGGAGCCTCTGGGTGGATTTGAACCGCCAACCTTTCTGTAAGTAGCTGAGCACTTAAGGAGAAAAACATAGAGGCCTTTTAAAATATGAAAGAGTGTCACTTCCTCTTAAGATTTTGAACTGACTAGGACTTCAAGAATATGTAGTTGGTGTTTGTATTTTGTTGATCGTGTTTTTAGTGGGGAGGGAGAAGATATTCCCTAAAAGTAGGGTATAATGGTAGGTAACACGCATGTAACAGGCACCTAATGGTAACGTTAGTGTGTAAAACATAAGGTACTTGAATCACACTGTTCAGGATTGTGTGATGAAGGTAGCTCGGAGTATGTGAATTTGAGGTAACTTTAAGAGGAGAAAAAACCCGTTAAGCACTTGGCTGCAAGCCGCTCCAAGGGAGAAATATGTGGCAGTCTACTTCGGTAAAGATTCACAGCCTCGGAAACACTATGGGGCAGTTCTCTGTCCTACAGGGTCGGTATGAGGTGTATCCGACTTGATGGCAACGGGTTTGGTTTTGGTTTATAAGAGGCAAGTGTAGAATCACAAGGGAAGTGATAATAAAGTCAGGCATTTAGGATTTCTGAGGCAGTTTCATAGGCAGTAGCTCATTGAAATCAGCCTCACGGCACGTCTGTGCTGAGGGCAGGGCAAGTGTGTAGCGTGGCTCACCCAGGTAGTTAGAATTGACTAGAAGTAGAACCACCAAGGACACCGTGGGAGAAGCGCTGAAACAACAGATAAAAGTGTTTGGACCTAGGATGACAGAAAGCATTAAAAACAAACAAAACCAAAAACGTAGCATTTAATTAAGCCTCTGCTCTATGCTAAACTCCGTGTCTTTCTGCCTTAGTTCCATCACTCTCTATTACTATCCTCATTTCACAGATAAAGAGACCGGTGTTCAGAGGTATCTAAGTAATGTCTTCAAGAGCGCATAGCTAATTCTGTAGATGAGGAAACATATGTATCAGAAAGGTGGAGTGACTGTCCCGTGGTCTTACAGCTAGCTAGTAACAGAGCTGAAAATAGAACCCAAGCCTTGTGACACCCACTCCTGCATCCTTTGCTACCCGAACATGCTGCTTTCTGGGGACCATGAGTCTGGAAGGTCTTTAGAAATCTGGGAGAGACCTGGTCGGCGTGTGGGCAGAGGAGGCAGCAGTCTCGGTGGTGGCCAGGATGCAGAAGGAGGCAGGGAGCCCAGCAAGCTGTTTGCAGTATTCTGGGAAGGATGTCACTGGGGATGGAGTGGTGGTGGTAATGGTATTAGTGAAGGGGCCACCAAGATGGTGATGAAAGAAGAGGTGATGGATTTGTCAGTTCCTGGCCTGCCCAGAGAAATGCTCATGTCTCCTCCCATGCTTCAATACAATTGAGTCTGTCTGATTGAACTAGCACTCCTGAGCACTCTGTATTAAAAACCACAACAACAGTTGCCCTGAGTTGATTCCAACTCACGGGAACCCCATGTGTGCTAGGGTAGAACTGTGCTTCATAAGTTTTCAGTGGCTGATTTTTCAGAAGTAGATAACCAGGACTTTCTTCCAAAGTGCCTCTGGGTGGCCTTGAACCTCCAGCCTTTCGGTTAGCAGCCAAATGTGTTAACCATTTGTGCCATCCAGGGATGCCTGAGCATCCCCATGGGAGGATCCATACAGAGGCCCTCAGTATTCACAAGGTGGTTGGGAAGAGATACTGTAAACTGCTAACCACAAGAGAAACTGAGAAGTGCTGGGAGAGGCACCAAATGTTGGTCCTCAAGAAGGATGACAAAGTTAGGGCAGTGGAGGGCTGTACACTAAGTGACCTGTGCAGAGCCACCTAGCAAGGCTGAAATATCATGAAGTAAGGGCAAACCAGGGGTTCCTTGGAAACAGTGATGAGTAGGAGTTTTGGGAGAAAGTGAAAGTGGGATCAGAGGTGGCTCTTCCACGGAGAATAAGGGAGCAGAGTAGACTGCGTGTCCCCTGCTGAGGAAGCTCTCTCAGCAGGAGTGCAGGGGAAGTTTGTCCATCCACTCGTCTCAGCTCTCCAGGGAAGCTGAACCCCGTTTCTCTGTTTGGTAACTTAGCAGGGTTGCTGTCACTCCTTTGAGTAAAGGCAGTAACTGGTAACTTATGTTGGACACTGGGGGGAGTGGATGGCTTGAATCCAGAAGCCCCAGGAAGTTTTTAACTGCTGGTGTCCTCTGTTCCTTCGTGCTTCCTCAGGGGTCTTGAGAAGCAATGGCCACAGAAGCCCCTGTGAACATCGCACCACCTGAATGCAGCACTGCTATCGGCACAGCAGCTGACACCTTCATCTGGCGGCCAGAGCCAGTAAACATGCATGTTCTAAGGCCCAAGTCCGCCAAGGGGCGTACACGGCCAAGTCTACACATATCGCAGGGCACGGGGGTGTGCTCCAGCCGCACACCTTCTTCTCCGCCTCCAGCCATGCCCTGCGAGTCACCAAGCAGCTGGAAACCAGGAGCCTGCACACCCAAATCTCCGAATCAGGGAGCTCCTGATGAGATCCCCGAGCTGCTGCAGCAGGTGTCCTTCGGGGCTTCCTCGTCTCTCAATAAATACCCAGTCCTTCCTTCCATCAACAGAAAGAACCTGGAGGAGAGGGCTGGGGAAACAGTAGCTAAAAAGGCCAGCTCACTGCAACTGCGCAGCATCAAGGCTCATTATCAAGAGGAGACTTGCACCATGAAGACAAGTGAAGAAGATTCCAGAGCTCGAGCCTGTGCCCCAGAGGAGAAGGTCATCATCCAAACCAAGAGACAGGGCTCCTCCAGGACTGGAAACTTAGAGGAACCGTCAGACCAAGAGCCAAGGCTGCTGCTTGCTGTCAGATCACCGACCGGCCAAAGGTTTATACACCATTTCCGGCCAACGGATGACTTACAGACCGTGGTTGCTGTGGCTGAACAGAAGAACAAGACCACCTACCCACGCTGCAGCATCAAAACTATGGAGGTGCCCAGGAGAAGCTTTTCTGACCTCACCAAATCTCTGCAAGAGTGTAGAATCCCCCACAAGTCAGTGTTGAGCATCTCACAGGAAGACCAGGAAGGGTGGCCCTGAGTTCCCAGCCACCCAGCTGGGGTCCTGGGTGTCTGAGCATGGAGCATGCTTGGGTGCCATGGACTCCCAGGCAGCTTGGTTCCAAGTGCCATGTGAACCCAGTGCAGCTGGGATCCTTGGGACGCCCATCTTCATGGCATCTCCTTTGAAGCAGTGAGATTTGCACATACACTGAGTGTGTTAGGAAGCCTCTCTGTCCCTGGGGCAGTGGCAAGTTACCAAGGCCATTCTGAACCAGCTGTTATTAGGTCTCCTCCTTTCCAGAACTTTGGATCCTTCTAAAATAATGGTCCCTTCTGGAGCGTCTGCTTGCCTTTACAGTGAATTTTTACTCTTGAAGCCAATGATTTGCCTTTCTGTATTTGATGCAGGATTTAAAACTTCCCAGAGACGATTCTAGTCTGGTAAAATACCAGGGTTCAGGAAATGTTTAACTGGCATCTGTATTTCTTGCAAGTATGTTTAAGAAACAGGAGGTTGACTGTCTTTGAAAACAGCTCCCTTTGATGAGCTCAGGTGGTTAGGGCTCCTTGGGGGGTGCTGTTTGTGTCAGGTGACAGCGGAAAGAAGAACAGGTCTTTTGCTAATACGATTCCTTCAATACATCGGAATTTCTAAAATAGCCCTGCAACTGGAAAGTAAAGTGCTTCCACAAGCACAGATTAGCCAGTAGCTACTTTTTAATAGAGACTGAGTTTACAACTACTGGTAGCTACTCTCTGTGTGCAGAATTCTTCCAAAACAGAGAAAATCCAGTGTTGCTGATTCCCTTTGCTTTTGTCAGTAATGGAAACTTTTGTTTTTAAAATGTTCAAGCCCCCAGTCTCTACACAGCCAACTGAAGGCCCCCTTGGCTTGTCTGTGGTGTGGATCCATTCGTTTATCCCCCAGGTCTAGTGTCTCACCCACTTCAAACACGGAGGCTCCTTTGGAGCAGCAACAGTGGCGTCCCCTCCTGTCTGAGCGCTCTTGGGAGAAGGAGGGGACCATGGTCTAGTGTGACTTTGCTGTGCCAGTGCTGAAAGCCTGTGTGCCCAAGCATCTGGCTGATTGGCATGAAGTGACCACTACATCCTGTGGCTGCTTTGAAGACCATGAAGTCTTGTTTTTCGAACTCTGAAGGGGTGAATGTGGACAATTTGCCAAAGTTCTCTTGTGTTGCAAGTTCAGCAAGACTCCCACAACTCATGTGCATCCTCTTTAAGGCCAAATCACCATTCAGAGTAGGGAACACTCAGACATTCTGGGTGCCTTGTACCCTGGAGCACAGCCATCACAAAGCCCTGAATATCAACATGTACCCACCACCTCCTAGGTACACAAAGATGGGATTTGAAACATACAAATGTTGCTACATCAGCAACATGTGCATTTTGTACACAGATAAGGAATGTGGTTGGAAATGTTACTTCTAGCAAATTGATACTTCCTAGCAATGGAGATTAACAGCACTGTTTCCTCTGAAGAAGGATTGCCTTCTACCTGTACCCCTCACCACCCAAATCAGTCTAGAATAGGTTCTTTCTGAAGACTTTGCAGAATTTCTCAGTCTCATCCTGGTTTAGTCAGCCTCTCCTTTGGTTGAAAAGGTCACCTCGGGCTTGTGGTGCCTCAGGCAGGCCCACACAACTGGCCACCTCTTCCAAATACTGTTCCTGGCAGAAGGGACTGGTGGCTGGCTGGTGCCCTGAGCCTGGGACTAACAGTACAGGAATTTTGCCTCCCACCTAGGACTCGAGCACATTAACTCTGCCTCTGATCTAGGAGGCTGGGGGAAGAGCCATAAGATGACACCCACTCTGTGGTAAGAATAAAATCCCACCCACCTTTTCCAGGCAGGAAAGCTTCAGAAAACTTCAGTGAAATGGAGCAGGCTTGAAGGAGTTAGAATCTTCCGTACCTAGGGGTTTGCTGCTGCTACTATTTAGCTTGAAATTATGGGGTGGTGAAGAAAGACAAAATGGAAGGCCTGGAGCATAGAAATGATATTTTAGAATATATGAATAAAGCTAGGTTTGAATTATCTTAATACACTTTTGTTTGACAAAAGATGATGATACTACTAACAATAAAATCTGATTTGTGTGAAACTGAGTCCGTGAAGAAGCGCATCTTGTATTTTAGCCTAAGACTTGGGCTGCCACACTAGTGGGCAGAGGGGTTTGTTAATGTGATCTTCAGTTTTCTCACTGGGAAAGCACGTGACTCCCCTGTTAGAACCAAGCCTCCCTTCCCAGGCACTTCAGATGCCGACTGCAGAAGCCCCCATAGCTCTTGCTTTCAGCTTATATTCATAGCACCAAGCTTATCTGTATGGAGTCTCTGGAATTTCTCCTAAAAACCATTCCAAATACTCTGATCTTGAGGTCAGCAAGCGCAGACTCTACCAGAATTTCAGAGCTCTTGGTGACTTTATAGGTGACATTCCCAGTTAGGCATTCTGGCCTAATGGGCTAAGCTGGTCCCAGCACACTACTCTTGGTGGCCCTGGGTAGGTCAGCCTTGCCCCATTTTGTGGTCACAGACCTCAGTCATTCATTTAACCAGCCATTATTGAGGGCTTACTCTGTGCCACACTTGGTGACAGTCATTGGCATCTTAGCAAGCTGCTGGTCAGAGTGTTGGCCAGAAAATGTGGAAGCACCACTGGACCCTCAATTCCAATCCTACTGAAGTCAGTGGCTATAGGTTTATGTGTGAAGGACCCCAGAGTGAGGATCAGATATATCACTACTGTGTCTTCTCCCCACCTTGTGGAAATATAAGAGAAAATCTTCCCCACCTTTTCCAGGGATGGCGCTAGGAAGATTGCTCATTATGGATATGAACTTTGCATGGGACCAAGCTTCACGACAAGTTGTTCCAGTATACATTCCTGATAAAGTCCAATAGGGAAATTAGTCCTGGCAGCAGAAGAACAGCAGGAGAAATAAGTGACCAATCATTTAGAATCCAAAAAAAAATTTTCACCAACAGATGGCAGGTGGTTTTAACACAACAGTCCTTGCCCTGAGAGTACCTGGGGACCCAGCCAACAGCCATAACCCCAGGGCAGTCCTGCTGAAGAGATGCCTTGTGAACATGACTACGGGCCAGCAGGCGCCCCAGACCTCCCAGATAGAATGCGTCACAAAGAAGAAAAGACAAGCCCTGAGGCATTCCATTGGAATGAATAACCTGAAACGCTCATGACAGATCAGCTCCTTTACAAAAGTAGGCTCTCAAGAAACTAAACTTTTTGCTTAGTTCCAAACTATCTGCCATTTAACATGGGTTTCTAATGTCAAATAGGAGCCCTGATGGTGCAGTGGTTAACAGCTCAGCTGCTAACCAAAAAGGTCAGCAGTTCAAATCCACTAACCACTCCTCGAAAACCCTATGGGGCAGTTCTACCCTGTCCTATAGGGTCACTATGAGTTGGAGTCAACTTGACAGCAACGGATTTTGTTTTTGGGTTTAATGTCAAAGCTACCTTGCACTGGGGGGAAAAGGTTTCTGTTTACAGATGCTCACTAAAGTCTTCACAGGAAGCTGAGTAAAAGTACACAGTTTCTTGCAGTCTTAGGTACACTTTAGATGAGCCTTTTATATGGGAAGAGGGTCCACTTCCCTACCTTTTAAACAAAATTGCAAAGGAAACTAGATATTTTGTTTCAGCATTGATTTGGAAGTTGTTCTGAGAATTAAGCAGGAACATTTATTTTCTTGGTCCACTAAGGCAACTCGCCACAATGAAGTTGAGAGCTTGCCAGTCTTTTTACGCTTACCCTGAACCAGAACCAACCAGCCTCCACCACACGTGCAGGAAAGGTCAGAGGCCAGTTAGCAAAGCACAGTGGACTTCCGGTGACTCAGTTACCAACACCTAAGATGGTAAGTCACATAAAAATAAAAGTGGGTGTTTTATTTTTTGTCTACACTAGTGACATTTTCCTTTCCTGATTAGGGAAGTTTCCACAAGAGCTTTCTGACAATCCTCTACATTCTTCTATGTCCAAACAGTTCAGGAAGCAGCAGTCCTGAACAGTCAATGCAGAAGAACAAATCTCTGCAAGTATTTGTGGATATGTTCCCAAGAAGCTGAGTGATTCATGTGACAGCTGCCAGTGAAGAAAATTAAGAAAGCCTTATGCAAACAGTCCTGTTTGAAGGAGCATTCTGCCTGTTGTGTTGAGCACAGACTGTAGGGGGTCAGGGTGGAAGATGGAAGACCAACTACTGGAGGTATTACGGTAGTTCTGGCAAGAGATGATGGTGGCTTGGACTAGGGTGGTAGCAGTAGATGTCATGAGTGTGGTCAGATTCTGGATATATAATCCATTTTCTTGCTTTCTTTTTTATTGTGCTTCAGGTGAAAGTTTACAGAGCAAATGAGTTTCTCATTCAACAATTCGTACACAAATTGTTTTTGTGACATTTGTCGCAATCCCTGCGATGTGTCAACACTCTCTCCTTCCCCACTCCGGGTTCCCCGTTTCCGGCCATCTATTTTTCTTGTCCCTTCCTGCTTTCTCGTCTTTGCTGCTGGGCAGCTGTTGCCCATTTGGTCTCGTATACATGATTGAACTAAGAAACACATCCCTCACGTGTGTTATTGTTTGTTTTATAGACTTGTCTAATCTTTGGCTGAAGGGTGGACTTCAGGAGTGGTTTCAGTTCTGAGTTAAAAGAGTGTCCAGGGGCCATAGTCTCGGGGGTTCCTCTAGTCTCTGTCAAATCAGTAAGTCTGGTCATTTTTGGTGAATTTTAATTTTGTTCTACATTTTTCTCCTGCTCTGTCTGGGGCTTTCTATTGTGATCCCTGTCAGAGTGGTGCTGGTTGTAGCTGAGAACCATCTAGTTGTTCTGGGCTCAGGTATAATCCATTTTCTTAAGGAAAAAAAAAAGAAGCATGATAGTTTGACAAAGTGGGATTTATCCAAGTGGACTTAGTGTAACCAATATTGCCAACTGTTTCTGCAAGAATAAACGTGAGAACAACAAAACAAACACATGACAGG